ATAATAGCTGGCACTGAAGAACCGATAGCACGAGACATCTGGCCACATGCAGTCTTCGTGGTCAGTTTAACCTAGGAAATCTTTACCACAGAAATGCATCTGTGGAAGACTGATGGGCTAAAGTGAGAGTGCTCAAGTGATCTGTCAGCCTTTCCTGCCAAGGGGCAGCATTATACCTCTGGCGGAAGGGTGCAGAGCTTCTTCCCTCTCAGCTGAGAGCTTTGGAAACAGAGAAACGCCTCTCGCCGGAGCCGACAACGGCAAGTTTTAATTAACAACACTAGGTAGAAGTAAGTAATCTAACAGAAGGTACCTACAGGGATGCATCAGACTTGTTTATAGTGATTATAATTTTTATAGGGTAAAAGTGCTATGTTTTTAATTCTTGGTAATTTTGTTCTGGCTTGCCTTCTTTACATGCAGAGCATGGGTTTTTAATACAAACAATAATTGTGTGAGTTCTAGAAAAATCTTAGGTGAACAGCCTGTTTCCTAAAGAGTGAGGTTCTACTCAGAAGAGTATTTCTTACAAACAGCAAATAGTGTTGTTCAGCCTGCTCAAGAATTTTCTTACCAAGTTTGATCACTTTAGTAGCGCTTTTTTAATAAAAGATTTTGGAACATCAGTTCTTCAAACTGAGTACTGATTCTGAATGTCAGTGCTGTGATTTTTGTGCTGAATGTGCTGATAGGGATCATATCATTAGTCTGTGTGCGTTTCTGGGCTTAGTTGCTCTCGAGGTCTATCTAATCCTTGCCCTATCTGTGACCATCCAGCATATTTTGGAAAAAGGAGTAACAAACACCACAGCACATCAATATAAAATAGTCTGCTCATCTCCCATATCAGGTTTTACTTATCCTGCATTTTGTATTTACCCAAAAAATCTCCAAAGCACAAGAATCTGAAATCCCTCCCAAAATGCATTATTTATATCTGCTCTGGGTGATCTATGGCCCAGCTTCCTGTAGCAGGGAACCGTTATGCACAGGAAGGCATGAGATAAGCCTTGCGAAGGAAGCTGCCTAAGCAGCAAAACAGTCTGAATTCAAAAGAAACGTAGCATTGCTTGTCATTGATTGCTCTGCTGCTGGGACAGTGACTTGCAAAGTCCTAACTCTCCTCCTGCATCATCAGTATTACCGTTAGGCACCAATACTATTGCCAACAGCAGCACTACGCTTCTATGACCTTGGCTTGGTGCTGCTCAGAGCCAGATCCAAACAGTACAGGTGCCTAAGTTGCAACCCCAGTAGCACTGAGGTGCCCAGGTTCAAGAACGCAACCCCCCACATCCTCCTTCTTCACAGCAAGAGCCAGCACTTGCCTCTTTACTTTTATAGATATTTAGACTATTTACATTTGCTGGACTTAAATCTGCAGTGCACTAACCACCTGTTTGGGCACCACACTCCTGCCACCTTAGTGAGATTTGTGTATGACAGAGGGGGTCCTTCCTCTTTTTCTTCCGATGGGCAGCACCTAGGACAGGGGCACAGACGCTCGCCAGCACCTGTGGGACCTGCACTGAGGACAGTGGAGAGGGGACACTCCAGAGGACTGTGTCACCTCCATTCTGGCCTGACAGACAGGGCTGTGTCACAGCTGGGCAATGGTTCCTCCTATCGTTTGTCCTCTGCAGCGGCAGATCAGCTGTCTGATGGTGAGAAGAGTCGGCTCACACTCACTTTGTACGTAGTCCTGAGTCATAACTTACCTCACTAAGCTAGAAGGTTTGGGGCCTGAGTTATGAAGCTGTGTGTCAGGTCAGGGCTTGGACACGGCTTTAAACACAATATCCATGCACCAAAAGAACACATCTCTTGGTGTGCATACAGATGTTACACTTTTGCCTGGGTTGAACGTCTAGATACCTATCTCCTGCCTGTGTTTTGGGATTCACAGGCTTCAGCCATGTCTAGATCCCCTCCGGTGTCAATCTAATAGTAGAGGACCTAGAGCTCACCTGCTGCTCCCAAACCACTCTGAGCATAGCAGAAAGTATCACAGCTCTTACACACGTGCCCATGTGCCAGCCAAGTGGTCGACCACTATTTGTTTGGGAAGCAGGGTACCTCTGTTCTTAGCCTACTGGGGTTCAAAACCACATCCTCCGCTTCCACAGGAAGGTGTCATGCTCATCTGTGTAACAACACAGCGGTGGCTGCTTTTTGCAGCCCCCTCGTCCCAAATCCCCCATCCCGACTTGGAGCTGGGCCACTACGCAGCCCAGAAACACACAGCACAGGCCAGGGAAAGA